TAGAGGGTTCTCCGAAAGGTTGAGCAAGCAATATTCTTCGAGCATCTCCACCGCACCACCGCTATAGCTATAGCTAACCGCGTTATAACTGACCTTTCTCATATCTTTGCGGTGTGCTAAATGATGTGCTCCAATGGGAGTTGCATCTATAGCTATCGCTATCGCTACGGATTGGTTGAAAGCGCGCACCAGGCCGCTTAGAGCGGGAGTGAAAATGCAGCGCACGGAAGAGAACGCTTGGCGCATGAACAGAGAAGCGGAGGCCGCTCGGAGGAGCGTGGCTGAAAGAGCAGGTAGGAGAAGCGCGTGCGCCGGAAGGGGCAAGGAGTGCTGGCTGCCGATGTACGTCGGCCTCGGGTATGGGTTACTCTAGAGCGGCAAATGGTATACTATCGCGCGGCCCTGAAAATGGTATACTATCGCGCGATTTTTGGAGGCAAACTCAACGCAACTCAATTGAATCATATCCAAATAATTCCACGTGGTATACCCATGGTTTTCCGGCTGTTTGGTGCAAAGGGCTGTTGCGTAATGCGGTGACATGCGACGAAGGATATTCATCAGCTGCACCACAGCCTCAGCTTTGCGGGGCCTCGGAGCTCAAACCATTGGACAGGACGTCCAAACCCCGACAAGTTGCTGCTATGGTCGGATGCAGCAGCCAACCTCTGAGTGCCCCGTCGACAACGAGCGCCCCGTCGACAACGAGCGTCCCGACGCAGCGCACGAGTTTGCCGACGACAACGAGCGCCCCGACGTTGAACCCGCGGATTGGGTCTACGTGGCCCGCTGGGCGTCGCGCGAACTTGCCCTCCAAGGAGTCCACGACCAAGCCTTCGAGCTCGGCTACCAGTTGCGCTGGAAGCACTCGAGCGGCACGCACACGATGTTTATCTGCGTCTCGCACCTCAACTGCCCTCACCGTGTCCGCATCGTCAAGGACAAGAGCCCCGATGATGGCTTCGTTGTCGAGAGCCGGGACAACCACGGGCTTGTCGCGATCAACATGGGCGGTGACGTTGTCCACCACCGAGACCAAGGAGATCAAGCACCCGCTCCTCGCGCGACCAGCTCCAATCGATCGATTGCTCGGCGTGGTCAACTGGCCCTCCCGGGTGCAATGGCGGCCGCGCGCTCCATGTTGGCCACTGCCCCTGCAGCGAAGCGGCGCATTGGGATGCCCAAGGCTGTGAAGCCAATCGTCGCTGCTCTTCTGCGCGGTGGCTTGGGCCCGAATAAAGTGCTCGAGCAGTTGCGCAAGACGTACAAGGACCGTCCCAGGTTCATCGCGAGCCTCCCGAGCCGAGACCAGATCAAGGCCCACCAGGCCTGGCTCAAAAAGTCGCTTTCCGAGAGCTACCGCGTCAACACCTACGCTGCTTTGCTCGAGTGGGCCGCTACCCGCACGTACAAGGGCAAGTCGGACATCTTCTACGGTGAATCGTGGTGAATGCCAGCAAGTACCAGTTTGGTCCAAGCGCCCGCAACCCTACCAGGGTCACGCGTGAAGGGGTCGACACGTACGATCATTTGCTTGATGTGATCTATTGCATACTAGTTCACGTTTCGGTTAGGTACATGCGAAGCATTGCCGGCGACCTCGGCGGCATCACGACGGTGGATGAGCTCGAGATCAACTTTGTCTCGAAGCACCACGTCCGCATCAACGCCGACATTGAAGTTGAGCGGGCCGATGCGCATGTTATTTGGACGCCGGCCCAGGTAACCCGACCTTCTGGCGTCGAAGAAACACACCAACAAATTATCGTAGGTCGATCTCGTTGCCGAAAAGTACCAGTGCGACTGCAAGGGCTCGTTCACCACGGGCTGGATTTGCTCGCACTCGGTCGCGGCCCAAAGCATCATGTGCGACCTCGACATGCAGGCTCTACTCGCCGAAGTCGCTCCCCGTCGTCGCCCCGGTGGCCAGCGCAAGCCGCAACATTCAACTTTTGCGGACGGGACCCTCAACCCGTTCTACTCGGTTGCCAACTTGGTCGCGCTCCTCGTCGACAAGCCAGGTTACTGCTACAACTGGACCATCCACCGGGAGTTCTCGTTCATCGACACCGAGACCGGCCGCGAGACGTCGGACTACATGCTTGGTACGATCATCCGCTTACGCAAGGGCGAGGTTTACTCCTGGATGGTTCGCTTCGAGGACGCCGAAGAGCTATGGTTTGAGGTACAAGAGCTCGCAGAACTCATCGAGGACTCCGCCCGTAGTTTCGTCGAGGTCGATTCGTCGCGCTTGCGTGTCCACAGTCCGACGATCGGCGACACAGAGTAGTCTCCCGCAACCAAAATAACCCATGTCATCTCAATTGCACACGTTTATACCTTCTTATGCGTCTTCTGTTCCCACCATATTGTACCAATTATTCTCAAACGACTCGTTTTTTTAGTTGATTGTGCTCTCAATTGAGAAAGCTCCAAAACCGCGCGATAGTCTACCGTTTTGCTCCAGATTAGCCCCAAAATCGCGCGATAGTATACCATTTTCAGGGCCGCGCGATAGTATACCATTTGCCGCTCTACAGTAACCCATACCCGTCGGCCTCCATCTACGTACTAGTATACGTGTATGTGCAGCGCTAGGCCTGGTGTGTCGGCAAGCAGCGTCCAATCTACGCACGACCATGGCGGATTGAGGCTTAGATGTTGAGTACTAGTATCGACGATCGACGCAGGGCTCACATGGACCAGCGCTCGTGCGTTGGACAAGGCGTCTGTGTCGGTAGAAGCAGCACTATCACAAGTCCTGCATAGCGGTAACGTTACCATCGAGCGCCTGGCCACCGCGTAAAGGGGGATTCGAGGTAGTATTAGTGAAAGCCTTTCTGCTCGACAACAAGCAAGCCGTGCCTGGAACTGGAACTCCCCACGACGCTGTACGCGCTCTTGTTTGAACCGCTGGTGACGGCCCTACGCTGTACCGCCGACGCGCAGCCTAACCGAGATACCAACAAATTCGTTTTACTGAAATCGTATTGCCAGGCTAACAATGCAAAACCAACCCGAGAAATTACACGAGCAAGCTAGCGCAACTTCCGTGTGTGTACTATAGTCTTTAGGAAACCTCGGGCTGGAAGAATTCATTTGCACTGCTGACCTTGAGAACATATCGTGATGACTGAATCTACATGACCGACAAACCGGATCGACCAGTCAAGTACATCATCTTTCACTATATGAACCACGTTTTACCATAACGGATGGTTTGACCGTGGTCGAACAGCTTATGCGATGGCCCCCATGCCATTCATCGTGCCCACTGCACATTTAGGACGTCGTCGCCGACGACGTCGGTGCACACGAATGCCGACAGTGACGCGCTCCTTCATGTTGGGAATCGTCTGGATGGAGGTGCGGGCCGACCATGAGACTCACTTCCGAGTCGTTCGCGACCGAGAGAACGCGGGACGTGCCAAATACCGCGCGCAAGACGGGCGTGACCGCTGCCGTGTAGAGACTATACTGCACCAGTACGGCCATGGCGTTGGCTAGCGACATCTTTTGCGGCACGGTCTTCATGGCGACCGTCAGGCCAGCAATCAAATCGAACGCGGGGTCGCGCTTTAGAGATAGACAGGACGACGACGTACCACCGTGCGTGCGTACTCGATTTTGTCGGATCAAGTTGGAACAGTTCTTCGAACCCG